GGCCACAACACTGTGAATTTTTAATGTAAGTTCAAATAGCCCCATGGGCTGGCGCCCACCCTGATCCCTCACCCCTTCTCATGTTGGGGGGACTCTGGCCGAAGGACAGCGTGGACGGTGCTTCTGGCCCAGCCACTGTCATCATGGCGGCTCCTGTTTAGTGCACACTCAGGGTCCCCATGCGTCAGGTGCACTGGCTGGTGACAGTCCCACGAGGTGGGTTTTATCACGATGTCCATGTTCCCAGTGGTGAACCCGAGGCTCCACAGGTGCTCTAAGTGAGGGTCGCGCAGCGAGCGAGCGGTGGAGCTGGGCTCCCAACTCGTGTCTCATCTGCCTCTGGCGCCCTTGACCTTAATCACTGTGCTGTTGTGGAGCTGGCTGAGGAATTTGGGGGGGGTCTCTCGGTTGAAGGGGAGCCAGTGGGAAGGGAGGGGGTGGCTGTGCTGTGTCGTTGGGGCCAGGTGCCTGGCTGTGCTCCATGGAGAGGCCACTTGTCCTAAGAGGCCTTCGGCAGGGGAGGAGCAGAGGGCAGGCTGGCGCCACCGGGCACCCGCAGCAGCTGGGGGCAGGGGGATTCCTGGGCCTCCGCGTTCCTTGCTCAGTGGGAGGAAGTCAGGACACCTTTCTGCAGAGGGAGCCGGGGGTCGCCAATGAGCCCGAAAGGCGCTCAGTTCTCACTGTGGGAATTGTTTAAAAATATCAGTGCCGAGGGCTAAGTGCAGCACACAGTCCTGGGGGCTCCTGGACCAGGGGGAAAAATAAAGGACATTCCTGGTGAAACGGGCGATACCCGAATGTGGCCTGTGGATTGGAGTACGGTGTCAGTGTCGCTGTCCTGGGCTGGATACTTCACTAGGACTGTGGCGGGTGAGAGAAGGCCCTTGTTCGTAGGAAATGCACTCGGGGCCATTACGGGGTACAGACATGGAACGTCTGCAGTTACCTCTCTCGTGATTCAGAGAAACAGAGTGTTTATATTTGGATCAAGCAAGTGGGCGAAAATGTAAGCACTGGGTGACTCTGAGTAAGGGAGTTCTTTGCACTCCACTGCAATTTCTGTAAGTTGAAATTGTCAATATAAAATTACCAAAAACTTTTTTAAAAGCAAAGAAATCCATCCAAGCTCAAGCCTTGCTCTGGGTTTGGATTCAGCTGCTGTTGGGGAGGGGCCAGGTGTTGGGGTTGTTAAATGATCCCCAGGTGAGGCCGGCCCGGTGGCTCACGCCTGTAATCCTAGCGCTTTGGGAGGACTGCTCGAGACCAGCCTGGGCAACATAGCAAAGCCCCCCACGGCCCCCCGCCCCCTGCCAATCTCTACAAAAAAATTTTTTAAATTTAGCCAGGCGTGGTGGTAGCACACACCTGTAGTTGCAGCTACTTAAGAAGTCAAAGCAGGAATATGGCTTGAGCCCAGGAGATTGAGGCTGCAGTGAGCTATGATTGCACTCCAGCCCAGGTGAGAGCGAGGCTCTGGTTTTAAAAAAAAAAAAAAAAAAAAAAGTATCTCCGGGCGAGTGTGTTGTGCAGCCGGAACCAACAGCCCTGTGCAGGGTGAATCTGGGTGGGGAGGGTGCTTAGTGTTATTTCCAGCAATCCCCCACTCCCGCCCTCCTAGCATTTGCAAGAACTGGCAGGAGGAATTCAGCCGAATGCATCGGAGCCAAGGAAGCCAAGGCTGAAACAGGCCACACAGCCTCTGGGACTCGGGGGCACCCATGGGCAGGCCCAGCCCCGTGGGTCTGAATCTGCGGGGAGGGCTCCAGCCTGCACTTGGACCCCAAGCATCAGGGCAGGGGCGCACATGGCGATCGGCATCACCGCTGGCAGCACTTGCACACTGAGTCTGTAACTGGGCCCAGCTCCGAGCACTGCATGGGCTCGATCTCACGTGTCCTTTGCCACCATCTGGACTGTGGGCTGCCACCCCCGCTTTATGGATAAGGAAACTGAGGCCTAGAGGCACAGAGTCACTTGCCCGGCTCCCCCACCCTCACCCATCAGAGTCCAGACAGTGGACTTGGGGTGGACACGGAGGGGGTGCCCCCTGACCCCCACCTGCCCTCTGGTTTCAGGCCAGGAGGACTACGACCGGCTACGGCCCCTGTCCTACCAGAATACGCACCTCGTGCTCATCTGCTACGATGTCATGAACCCCACGAGCTACGACAACGTCCTTATCAAGGTGAGGCCACTTCCTGGCCAGCCTGACTGTGGGGGTGGGGGCCCCGGATTCGGGGCCGGCCTCAGCCCTGATGCCCTGCCTTCTCCCCAGTGGTTCCCTGAGGTCACGCATTTCTGCCGTGGGACCCCCATGGTGCTCATTGGCTGCAAGACAGACCTGAGGAAGGACAAGGAGCAGCTGCGGAAACTCCGGGCCGCCCAGCTGGAGCCCATCACCTACACGCAGGTCAGCCAGGGCCCCCACCACCCCACCACCAGGGGCCATGATCCTGGGCCACAGCGGTGGCTAAAAAGCCTCCCAGACCTCTGGCCTTTGCAACTAGGGTGCCTTAGTGGCCCTTTAGGGAGCTGAAGCAAGCAGGGCTCGAGGAATAGTAAGTTTTAAATATCGATAGCCCTTGGATTTGAGCACTTTACATTTCTCGCCTCATTTAATCCTTGTAACCCTGAAGCAGGTGCTGTGAACATTCCCGTTTACAGAGGAGAAACTGAGGCCCAGAGAGGTTAAGCGGGTTGCCCAGGGTCACACAGCTCCACACCTGAAGTGGAGCCAGGATCTGTCCCGCTCACTCGGGCTGCAGAGTAGGGGATGAGAGGGACAGGCCCTTGCTTGGAAGTAGCCTTCCCTATCCACGAGAGTAACAGGCACGTCCAAACCCTGCAGCTTTTTGGGTGAGGTGTGGGAGAATAAATAGAATAAAAGGAGTGCAAAGGGAAATTAATAAGAAACTTTAATGAAAAGGACTAAGCCTTGATAAAGGTAAATTCATTTTAAAAATAATTTTTTTCTTTACCTCATGGCAAGCTCAGTTGCCTGAAGTGTGCTTTCAGAGAAGAGAAGGCGAGAGGTGTAGCAAAGTCCTTTCTGTCTTGAGGCCTCCCAAGCCTGGGAGCCCCAACCCCAGCTCTCAGAATTCAGCCTCTGCCTGGAGCTGGACAGAGGGCGGGGTGGGGGCCGGGCTGGGCTTCTCCCGCAGCCCGTGGGCAGCGCCCAGCAGGCCCCACGTCCCATCCACACACGCCCCTGAGGGTCAGCCCTGCAATGGAGGGGAGAGGGCCCCCAAAGCCAGCCCCGCACCCCTAAATCCATGAGGCATCAGGTGGCCCCGGAGGTCCCGTACTCTGGGCCCCCTCACCTAACGCTGGCTCCTTCCCTACCCAGGGCCTTAGCGCCTGCGAACAGATCCGAGCTGCGCTCTACCTGGAATGTTCTGCCAAGTTTCGGGAGAACGTGGAGGACGTCTTCCGAGAGGCCGCCAAGGTGGCCCTGAGCGCTCTGAAGAAAGCACAGCGGCAGAAAAAACGCCGGCTCTGCCTGCTGCTCTGATCCTAGCGATCCTAGGTGGCCTTCATGACAGCACTGACAGGGCCCGGGTCCCCAGGCCCAGACTGTGCCTGGGATCCTGCCTTGTCCCCAACAACTCTCTGGCACCTGGTGTCTGGGGCCTGCAGCTAGACTCTTGAACATTCTGGAACTCTCTCCTTTCCCAGCTGGGGCTCTGACCACAAGCCCAGCTCCAGGCTTACACTGGAGCGTGGTAATGATGAGGGTGCTGGATCCTCCTCCCTTTGTGCCCCAGAGCCAGTGTTTGTCCCCAGGCCTCAGGAGTGCACTCGTCACAGCCTCCACCAGCCACGTGTGTGCCCGGTTGCAGACCCGACTTACACTTAAATCTACGTCTGGGAGTGGGCGCGTGTGCATCTGGCGTTGTTCCCCACGGGCACCCCGCTGCTCCTGCCACCCGCCTCCCTGGGCTCCCGAGATAGCCACGGCTGCATCCCCCAGCTTCTTCCTTCCTTCCCATGGGAACTCGGGGCACGGCGGGGCTGGGGCCTATCAGGAGAACACAGGCAGCGGCCCCGGATGAGGGCCTGGCACACCCCCAGCGCCCGCCTGCCCCACATGGAAGACGTCAGCCTCAAGCTTCGGCTTGGCCACCATCTCTGCAGAGCTGGGCACATGTGCACAGGGGGAGAGGAAAGGGTCTCTCAGCAGTAAGACCTACACCCTGTCCCAGCCGTCTGCCCGCTGTGCAAGGTCTCGTCTAACCCTCTCCCCCGCCCCCGCACTGTTGGAGACTCAGGATGGAAAGTGCCACGAGCTCCTTGTGTTATCTTGAGCAAGTCGGTTCTCTCTAGAACATCCTCATCTGCGACACAACAGGATTGGTCCATTTAAATAGTCGTCCAGCTACCTACCTTCTGTCCCTCACAGCCTCTGCTTCTGCCAGCACATGGCGTCCAGGAGCCGCGACCATCCTGGCCTCCTTCGAGAACTGACACGATCGACCCCCTCCCCACGTGGGATGGCTTCTCAAAACCGGTCAGCAGACCGCCTCGTGAGCAACACCAAACACCTGAGCCCGGAATCGCCTGGGAGCGCTGGGGTCGGGGAGCCAGGACTGTTTGAACAAGTGCCCCAGGTGATTCTAATGCCCACCAGAGACAGAGAGCTGCCCTGTGCTAGAGATCCTAAGATGGCATAATGGCTTCAGGTGGCACCTGCCCTCCCCACCATCTCCTGCCTCAGCCCCCCTTGCCCAGTGCTGGGGCCTCAACTAAACCTGTGCTCAGCAGTCAGTCTGCCAAGGGAAGGAGACCGAAACCCACCCCACCCCAGCTGGGCTCTGCAAGGCCCTGCCATCCCATGGAGAATCAACCAAGGACCTGTTGTTCTGGAAGAATCCAAGGCCTTGTGGACAAATAATGGTCTAGGGGAAAAGTCAGCAAACTACAGCCTGTGGGCCACGTCTGGCTACGGCCTGTTTTTGTAAATAAAGTTTTATTGGAACACACCGCGTCCGTTCACTTATGCATCGGCTTTTGCCCTGCCACTGCAGACTTGCCCAGTTGCCACAGAGACCCTCTGGCCCTTTACACGGTTTGCTGACGTCTCATCCAGGGCAAACCCAGGCGCCTGAGAAGGGCCAGAGAGGAGACCTGCGTGGAGAGCAGGCAGGGGTGAAAGGGAGTGGCGGGGCCTGCGGCAGGGCGGGGACCAGTTGCGTCCTGTGGGAACATTCCACGTCCTCCCATTTTTCTAGGGGAAGCAGAAATCTGGATTTTTATTTTGGTTACAATGTAACTAATTTTAAAAATTTAAAATCCCTTTGAGGGCCAAACAAGGCATGTCTGTGGATGCCAGCTGTGAAGCCTGGTCCAGGTGGATCTGCAGGGATGTAGTTAAGGGCAGCTGAGGCCCACGGAGGGGAGAAGGGACAGAACCTTCAAGCGCACCGGCGGCCTCTCCGCATGCCCTGCTCGTACAGAACCTCACAGGAGGCGGGGACCAGCAGCCTTGGCCTGGCCTCCCTGGGCGGCCTCTGGGGCGAGCCTGCTCAGACCCCTCCCCACCCCCACATTCCAGAACCTGAGCTGGGAGGGGGAGACCGGAGAGTTGGGCGACGTCCATGATGGCTTAAGTGCCAGCCAGCGCTGAGGGTCTTGGTGCCACTCCCAGAGTACTCGCTGCAGGAGCGGGCCGGTGCGCCACAGGGTTCAGGCAACCCCAGAGAGGAACGGAGCTTCCGGGGTCGCTCAGAGCACACAGGAGCTGGAGCGCCCTCTGGTGGTGACCCTCAGGACCGCCCCGAGTGGCCCCAGTGGCCACAAGCGGGCAAGCCAGGAGGCACAAAGAGCACGAGGCAAAGGTCAGTGGTTCTCCCAGAACTTGAATAGCCCCCGGCGCAGGAGCTGAGCTTACAGCAAAGGCCGAGGCCCCAGGGGAGGGAAGGCTCTGCGGGTGCCGAAGGGCTTCATTCCACCCCGCGACCGGGACCAGGTAAGTAGCAAGTCAGCAGAAATCCAACCCCGGCGAGGCACATCCAGACCCCAATGTGAGGGGTTCAAATGACGGGAGTGGGGACAGAGGGGCTCCCTGAGGCTTCAGGCCTCTCCCCCAGGAAGACTGGCCCAGTCCCAGCTGGGACATTGGGAGGACCCAGTGTTAAATATGTCATAAATAGGTGGGCTAAACTGTGCGCACAGGCGGGGTTCACAGTTCTCATGTCCAGCAGGAGCCAGGCCTGGGCCCTACAGCAACATCACTGGCCCCTGAGATGGCTGCGGCCGGCGCTGCTGGGGGCACTCGGCGGCCCAGGTGCCACCAGACCGATGGCTCAAAGTCTGGGGGCCCGGGGGCACAAGAGTCCGCAGCTCATGGCTTCTTTGTCTTGTTTCTGTTCTTCTGGAGTTTGGCATGCACGACTTTGAGTGTGGTCAAGAAGTTGCCGAGGAAGAGGACGAGAAACGTGAGAGCCAGCACAAACACCTGGAGGGGCCGGCGAAGCAGCAGGGCCCAGGGGCAGAGAGAAGGGGAAGCTCGATCAACTGCCCTGCTGCAACCCCCACCCAACCCCCTAGCAAAGCCATCCCCAAACTGTGGGTTTGCCCGCAGAAGGCAGAGATGTGGGCGACCTGGGTGACAGGCAGGGGCCTTGGCAGCGTTCTATGGGGAGGGCCTCCCTTGCCTCCCTCCCATCCACCCACCTCTCCCAGGCCCCAGGAGCAGAAAGCTGGGGCAGCAGGGCCCCACACTGGGTGGGGGGAGGTGGCTAAGGATAGACTTCTCCCCACACAGGCACAGGCCTGCCCGCCACCCCCTGCCCCAGGAACCTCCTCACCAGCCCTCGCGCCCCCCCCAACACCCATACCTGCCATTCTTTGCATTCCTCGTGGCTGGAGAGCTCGAATAATGTGACAGCATTGTAGAGCTGCCAGAACTGCAGAGAGGGAGACAGGCACTGCTCAACCTGGTCTCCAGGTTGCCCTTGGAGACTCACCTGGAAAGCCAGGGAGATGGACCAGGCCCCCCCAGCTTTGATATCAACCACCCAAGACATTGCCACCCTCCCCAAAATGAAACTGTGGACACCCTAGGCCAGAGCAGGTCTGCCCTTGGTGTCCCTGTGCCCAGAGGTCTGTCCTGGCCCCAGGACCCCGTGGGGCCGAGCACGGGGATGGCCAGAGGACGGAGAGGCCTGAAGACCTCCTGTTCCCGGGGGTCAGCCCAGACAGGAAATACCCACAAACTCCAGGGGGACTCACGTGGCCACAGAAGAGGAAGGGCAGGAGGAAGGTGAGGCCCCGCCACATCCAGGACTGGAAGCCTTCTGCGGGGAGGAGGGAAGGGAGGCATGTGAGGGGCTCATGTCCCCACCTGGCGCCCTACAACTAGCCAGGCACAAACACAGGTGTGCAGGGGGGATGGCCCCCACCATGACAATAACAGCCCTTGTTACCAGGCCTGATGGCTGTCACTCCTCAAAACAGGGCCTACTTACAGGAATTCGATGGAAATGATCATCTCAAAAAATAGCCGAGTTTTATTAAAAAGTTTCCCCTGAAAGTTTGGACAAGGGTGTCTCCAGATGTTCCTGACTGGGCTCCCCTTGGGTCAGGAGAGCTAAGAATGTGTTCCCAGTGTGTATACATTTATATATTTGTACGTACTTCCATGTAGGCATGTTATACAGAAAGTAGATGCACAACCAACACTAGACTAATATTACGTACATTATAAAACACGGATGAAAAACTAGACCCTTCAAAGGATAAGGCAGAGGCCCAGCATCGGTGCCTGGCACTCGGCTGGCCTTGCACTTAGCGCAAGCAGAATCTGTGATGAATCATGAAAAGCAACACGATGGAGGACGGCGCGTGGCTTCGCTGCGTGGCAGGTCTCGCTTGGACGTGCTTCTGTGCATGCCCCTCCCCGCCCCAGCTACTCACCTACGGTGAGGTCCAGGTGATTCCTCTCCCCCAGGGCCCGCAGCCGGTAGAGACAGCCCCGCTGGTAATAATATTGCAGGAACTGGACGCAGCCTGCAGGGGGAGCACAGCGCCAGGTTCAACAGGGGCCACCTCCTCTCTGCCCCAGGTCTGCAGGCTGGCGGGTCTTCACTGGCCAGAGGGCAGGGAGGGCGCCCTGGTTACAACCCTCTCCCACCTCCGACACACACACTTTGGTTTGAACTGGCTTGATCCCTTATCCAGGGATACAAAGAGAGCCCAGGCTGTGAGAACCCATTTATGCCCCAACTAGATGAGAAACTTCTGGAGTTTCCCTAGGCATACAGCAGGCACTCAATAGATGCCTGCTGGAATGCAAGATGTGCCCCTGCTGTGTTGGGAGCTGTGTGCCACACCAAAGCACAAGAGAGTTCCATACAATGGGATACTTTGTAGTTGCTAAAATGAGGAGGTAAGGACGTGGACAAACAGCCGTGGTAAATTGTTAAAATCGAAGTTTTTAAAGTGGGTTGTAATCGTCAAGTTCCATGTACAGAAAGATCCCACATGTAAAAAATATACATATGCAATACATAGTATGTATTTATGAATAAAAACATTTGGAAGGACATAGATCTTAATTAACACTGATCATCCCTTAGGGTGGGATAATATACAATTTCCATTCTTGGCTTTAGACATTTCTATTTATTTGCAAGCAGGTTTTTATTTACAAATTCAGTTGTATTTTTTTGGAAAAGGCAATATGCACACGGTATAAAATTCAAAGGGAACAAACAGGTTCTCCGTGAAAAGTGAAACTCTCTCCCTGTCCCCAGCCATCCAAGCCCCCTCCCCAGAGCCCAGAGGCAACCCTGGGGCCAGTTCATCGTATACAAATCCAGAGCTATTCTCAAATGAAAAAATATATATATTTCAATTTTGAGGACTTATTTAAGACTTGGAAACAAGGTTAGTGGCCCGACACTACACAGTTCCCAAAGGTTGCAGCTGGTCTGACCTGGGGAAGGAACAGGTGGGGGCTCTGGGTGGGGGCTGTGGTCCCAGCCCTCCCTCCCCAAGGGGGGGGCTAGAAGGTAGGATGGAGTTGATCTGGGTGGGGGGACAGCTCCTTTCTGAATTTCTGGGACCCTCCCTTCCCCAGTCTGCTCTCCCTTCCACACACGCAAGCACTGATGTCAGCTGGGGGCCCCCCTCAGTGAAAGCCACAGGAACCGCGCCCCCTCCCCCAAAGCTGGGCAAGAGACACTCACTCTGAAAAATTGAAAACGCTAAAAACTGATTTCGGAACTTCTGATAAATGAGTCCATTAGGCCTGGAGAGAAGGCAGGGGGAAAAACAAAGGCGGGGTGCGCCGTAAAATCAGACACTCATCCCCGCCCCACCTGTTCCAACGGGGAGAGAAGCAAAGGTTTTCAGGTTAAACCGAGGTCCCCGATTCCTGCCCTTCTCGGTCCCTGACGCAGGACCAGAACTAGGGGAGCCCACATAGTCACGCTGAAACCCAGGTTCCTGCCAGTCCCCTGTCCTCCAGTCTGGTTTCGTGCCACAGCCTCGTTCGATTCCTGTCACCTCCGCACCAGCCAGCGGGGACCCTAAAACATTTCCCAAAACATCCCGGGAACACCCCCCAGCCGGCTTGGCGAGGCCCCTAGGCCAGGCCCTGGCCTAGCTGTCAGCCCATCCCTGCCTTCCTGCCCGAAGTCCAGCCTGGACGCCGTCCCATCCGCGTCAGCCCCTCCCGGCTACCCGGCTTCCTGGGGAGAAACGCGGTGGGCACGGGAGCAGCTACTCACCAGGTCAGCATCACTCCGGACAGGAACGTGGAGACGTAGTGGTGAGACACCCACCAGCCTTTAATTCTCGGGGAGGAAGAGAGAAGGAGAGGTGCTCAGGCGGGGGGGACACCAGGCATCTGCCTCCCAGCCCACGTGGGCCAGGGCTGCCCCACGGCTCGGAAACAGCCTCTGGGAGTAAGAAATGGACCCAAGCCATGACCTTGCCCTTATTTCTGCCCTACAGAGCCACAATCCCACACCTGCAGATTAGCCCAGAGACCCACTGAGGCTTCCAGGGGTTTCCGCAACCCTCAACACATCCCAAATCTCACCCGCCTTCAATCCCCACCTCCCTGTCCTCTCCTCCCGTCCTCCCCAGCACTGAGGTGCTCCAGGCATCTGGCTTTCCCTTGAACTCACCAAGCCTGTTGCCACCTCAGGGCCCATTTGGACTGAATTGTGCCCCTGCCCCACAATTCCCATGTTGAAGCCTAACACCCCCCAGTACCTCAGAATGCGACTGTATTTGGAGCTAGGGCCTTTAAAGAGGCAATGAGGTTAAATGAGGTCGCACAGGTGGGCCCTAATCCAACATGACTGGTGTCTCTGTAAGAAGAGGAGACACACCAGGGATGTGCGTGCACAGAGAAGAGGCCGTGTGGGGACATGGGAGAAGGCGCCCTGGGCAAGCCATGGAGAGAGGCCTCAGGAGAAGCCAACCCTGCCAGCACCTTGATGTTGAACATCCGGCCTCCAGAACTGCGAGAAAATAAATTTCTGCTGTGTAAGATGCCCAGTCTGCGGTGTTTCGTTCTGGCAGCCCCAGCAGAGTAACACGGGGTCTCTGTACTTGCCGTTCTCCCTGCCTGGCTCCTGGGCCAAATTCAAGTTTCATAACAACCATCACCTCCTCAAAAAGGCCTTCCCTGGCCGAGCGCAGTGGCGCACGCCTGTAATCCTAGCACTCTGGGAGGCTGAGGCAGGAGGATCGCTTGAGCTCAGGAGTTCAAGACCAGCCTGAGCAAGAGCAAGATCTTGTCTCTACTAAAAATAGAAAAATTAGCTGGGCATGGTGGTGCGCACCTGTAATCCCAGCTACTCAGGAGGCCGAGGCAGGAGGATTGCTTGAGCCCAGTAGTTTGAGGCTGCAGTGAATTATGATTGAGCCACTGCACTCTAGCCTGGGTAACAGAGTAAGACCCTGTCTCTTAAAAAAAAAAAAAAAAAAAAGTTAGCTATTTAAGCAACAGCCTGTGTGTGCCTTAGGAGTTACAGTGAGGGACAAAGTTTTATGTAGCTCCATATTCCCAGCACTAACAGCACCAAGTAAACAACAGGCACTCAATAAATGTTGACAGGAATAATGTCCAGGAGGTATGGCTGGTGAAAGCAGCAGCTAGTCTGGATGCCACCAGCACAGAGGTGACAGGAGATTGTTGCAGGCGCCATGTGAGTTCATGGGGACAATGTAAGATGTCCATCTACTTCTTTGTCCCCAGCAAACCCTCAACCTCACCAAGTATCCATCTCATCTGTCAGAGTCTACGAGGATCTCTGGCTCCAATTTTCTGACAGCAAAGGCAGTTGGCCAAACCCTCAGACTCTAAGGTTGAAAAGCAACCAAGAGGTCTCTCTGCAACCTCCCCAGATCCCCGCAAAGCCACACATCAGCCCTCAGATCTTGGTGGGCCCCACCCTCCTTTGTCCTCCTCCCGAAGCTCCCCTGAGAAACGTCCTCTCCCTGTCTAGGAGCAGCCTGTGCCAGACACAGACTCCAGGCAACAAGCCTGACCGAGCAGCAGCTTTTAATTTCACAGCTCGCTGTGCCCAGAGCCCAGCTCTGACAGATGCCACCAATAAACACAGCTCAGTGACATCGGGTGAGGCTAGAAATTGCTTCTTGCCCGGCCCAGCATTCACGAGCCCCATCGTCCATCTGCACACCCTAGGGCTCTGGGCTGGTTTTGTGCATGTGTGTTTATACAGCAGTTTTATTGTGACATAATTCAGATACCATATGATCCGCCCATTCAAAGCGTACAATTCAGTGGTTTTTAGTATATTCACAGAGTTATACGACTATCACTACAATCAATTTTAGAACCTTTTTATCACCCCAAAAAGGAACCTAGATGCATTAGCATTCACTGCCTGGGCCCATTTTGCTACAGAAATAAAGCTTGCAGCGGCTTGTGGGCTTTTTCTAAAGAGCAGACAGAAGACAGAAGAGCGGTGCATGCACGGCCAGAACATAGAGCATGACCTGGTATCTGGGCCTGTGCCAGGGAGAGCATCGCTTCTTTCAGGACACATTAGCCATGTTTGTTAGTGTGTGGAAAACATGTGCCACAGCCACTATACAAGCCCAGGCCGTTTCTTGCTTTGTGTTCCGGGTTATCTAGACAGCTGGAGAATGGCTTCTATACTGAGGGTCCCTGACCTGCCTGCCACCCTCTACATGTTTGTGCCCAAGGATAGGCCCCTATAAAAGCCAGTCAGGCTGGGGGTGGTGGCTCACGCTTGTAATCCCAGCACTTTGGGAAGCCAGGAGTTCAAAACCAGCATGGGCAACACAGAGAGACCCTGTCTCTACAAAAAAATTAAATAATTAGCCTGGCGTGGTGGCTTACATCTACAGTTCCAACTACTCAGAAGGCTGAGGCAGGAGGATCACTTGAGCCCAGGAGTTTGAGATCAGCCTTAGCAACATAGCAAGACCCCTTCTAGAGTACAAAAAATCAGCCACGTGCCTGTAGTCCTGGCTACTTGAGAGGCTGAGGCAGGAGGCTTGCCTGAGCCCAGGTGTTTGCAGTGAGCTATGAGCAGGTCATTTGCACTGTCTCTTAGAAACAAACAAAAGAAAAGCCAGTTAGAGCCAGGTACCCTGGAGAGCTCACTAGAAAAGCAAACATGATGGGCGATTCATTGACTCATTATTCCGTCTTGTCCCACAACTAAATGCAGTGGACATGGCTGTTTTGCCCGCTGTCAGTCACAGCCCACCCTGCTTCTGGGGCCTCCGCTTTCCCGCGGGGAACTCAGTCTGCGTAGGGTGTGTGTGTACGAGGGGGTAGAGCTGAGGTATATAAGGGGGCACATGACCCAAAGCCAGCCAATCAGGATTCTGCAGCCCTCCGGCAACAGTGATTGGCTCCAAGGTCAGCATGTGACCCAAGCCTAGCCAATCCAAAGTCTGCCTCGAGATTCCAACAAGATGGGGACAGCTCTCTCCCCTGGGGCTGCTGATCAAGCAGGAGGCTGGTGGCCTGGGCTGCAGGGGCCGATTAGCGCTGTTCCAGCCCTTTTCACCTCCTTGACACTCCCAGTTACATATGCCCATAAGTTCCCCTCAGACTTAGTCCCTATGGGGTGGATTTCCATCATTAACAAAATTTGCAAGAGAAGTTGACGCTGACTGAGCTAATGAGCTACATTTCTTGGGAAGCATCAGACACAAACTAGGGTGGCTCCGTCTCACAACAGAGAAGTCCCCACCCCAACGCCTGCTTCCCTGACCACACCCCCAGTCCCAATTCAGTGCAACCAGGAACAAGACAAAGAGCCTCAGTCAGACCGAGTGGGCAGCTAGCCTCTAGGAAGTCCATGTGGTTCGGCCCCACTGTCCCCAGAACCTTTCCTCATTGCGGAGCTTGGGTTTGATTCATTTCAACAAAGACCGTGGGAGTGCTTCCTGGGTCCCGACCCTGAGTTCCAGACCTGGCTCCTTCCCCATATGGCTCAGAGATGCTTCGGTGATGAGAGAGGTAGAGTTCATCCCAATCTGCACCCCTCCCACCACCTCCTCACCTGCTCTCTCGGAATGGTTGCTTAGCTATTCCCTGGTCAGAAGCCAATGGGAGGGGAAACCTCAAAGGCATCTCCCTTGCCCGCCCCCAGGATAAACGAGCTCCGAAAAGGAGCTGAGGGAGAGTGGAGGCTGAATATCCAACAGATGTTGAGGATGAGTCACAAGTTTTAGCCACCCAGATTCAGCCCACCTGCCTTGCCCCTTGCCCACAACAGTCCTTCTAGAAGATGGCACCTGTTTGGGCCACCAGCCCCATTCCAGACTCCACTCACCCATCCAAGCCCCTGCCCCTGGCCCACACAGGGAGGCAGGACTGGAGGAATGGTTCCGCTACAACTTGAAATTCCTTAAACCACATTTGCCAAGAAGGAGTCTTTGCCATTAAAAAAAAAACTCTGTGAGTGTCCCCAAAAGGCACAGGTGAGACAGTCATCTCGGCATCCCTCACTTAGTGTCTGGTACTTAGGAGATGACCATAAATGTGTGACTGAATGGCAGATGGGGTGAGAACAGACCCTCTTGCAAGCTCAGAGACAACCATGCCTGCTGTCCCGTCAGAGCATGAGCTCCGGGAAACCCAGAAAAGCTCCTGCTGAACTGCTGGCAGGTGAGGCTTGCCCCCTTTAGTGCCCCGCTCTGTTTTCCTGGTGAGCCCCACACCTGCAAGGACCCTGGTCAGTCCTACTTCCTTCTCTCCGGTAACCGCCCACACGCAGCTTGTCATACTAGGAAAAAGAGCTGTCCCGAGCAACTCTTAGCAAAGTAGGATGTCTGCTAGAGGCACGGCATGCCCCTGAGCAGAAGGGTGAAATGCCAAGACTGATATAGGAAGCCCAAGGGTACAGGAAGAGGATTAGCCACAAGGAAGCCTGGCCTCTTGCCTTGGCTCCATTCCCCACTATAAACTACCCTGGCTACCCTCCAACCACACCCAAAAGCAAAATACTATTCATTCTAAAATTAAGGAAAACTATGAATGTTATTTACTTGGTAAGTTTTCTACTTTAGTGTTTCCCAAAACATGAGGAGCATACCAAGTTTTAGATGATACCAGAGTGCGACACTAGATAATACTGAACCACGTGGTGAGAAGTCCTCTGTTTGGTTCTCTTTCCAGTCTCCTGATTAAGTCAAGGAGAGAATCTCGGTTGCAAGATCTGTTCATCTCCCTTTTCCCACAGACATGCAGAGAGATGGCAGGCCTCGGGCTCCAAGGATTGGGAAGCAAAAACAACTGACTTCACTAACTTCTAAGGTGAAAACAAAAGGATATTTTTACAGGACTCTTCCTGCAATTGATGCTGGTTTTCCATGTATAGTGGTAAAATAGTTTCCTTTTAAAATAAATCAACATTTATTTAAGTAAAAAAAAAATGGAGGCTTAAATTAAAATGAGGAAATTGTCATCTGGGTGCTACGTGGATATGGCAAAAATAACGTACAGTTTGAGAAACACTGATCATTTCTAAATGGCTACGTGCTTACAGGCTGCGTTCCTAAGAATCACCAGCCCCCTCAAGAGGCTGGGAGGAGGGGAATACTTGTCCTTACCTCTTGGCTCTATGTTCAGGGTAAGATCCAGCAGGGTAGGGACCTGCCATAGAGACCACCAGGCGAAAAAGTGAGAAAGTGGCAAATTATCTGGGTACTGGGTACGGTTGGCAGATGCCCGTTGGTCTGAAACACACGGTGGCTCCTGGACGTTCCTTATTAACCCCCAGGAAGGAGGAAGTGCAGAGAGTTGGGAGGTTGTTACTTTTTGTTTCAGGAAGAAACAGGAACAAGACTGGCATGCCGAGGTTCAAATGGCCATCCCAAAAAGGAATCTGGGCCTGGTGCAGTGGCTCATGCCTGTAGTCCCAGCTACTCGGGAGGCTGAGGTGGGGGGATCCCTTTAGCCCAGGAGTTCGAAACTAGTCTGGGCAACAAATGGCAAAAAAAAAAAAAGAAAAAGAAAAAAGGAATCAGACCTTTGGAAAATGGGTTCCCCAGGTGGCAAGACATGGGTCTTAACTGGGTCCCAAAACTCAGCTTAGAGGCAGGCAAGGCAGGAAGGAGACTAGGAGAAAATAGTGGGGTTTCTTACACTCAAAGCCCTTCAGAGATGGGGGAGCAAGGGAACCCCCCATCTTGCCTAAATTCATTCAACACCACTGTGACACAATCATCCTCCCTCAGGGGACTCTGAAACAGCCCAGAGAGGGGACACGACATGCTCAGGGTCACAGGCGTGGCTCAGCAACTGCCCTGGGACTGGAACTCAGGAGCCCTCACTCCCAGCCTGGCCTCCGTCCTCCTCGGCATCCTCTCTTTGATGGGCAGGTTTGGCCTAAGACCCTCATCCCCTGCCCACTCTCCTCTCCATCTCCTGGTGGAGGACTATCCACTCTTGTCATCAAAATCCCTTCATCCTTCTAGTGACAATATCCCAATTTTCCTCCCAATACCCCACTTCTCCTCCTGACACTCAGCTTCCAATGATGGCTACAGGGGTGGCTGTGAGGCTCAAGCCTGGCCAGTCACAGCAGTGCGTTCTCTGGAGACTGGACTGGTCAGGGACAGGCATGTGATCCTGTCAGTGTCTGGACCCAGCCCATGGGATCCAGTGAGAATGTGCCCCGTTCGCTGAGAACCCTGGAAATAATGACGTGTGCCTGGAGCTCCTGGGTGCCCCTGCATGGAGCCTGGGAATAAACACAACACAGTAGATGGCAGAGGTGACAGATGGAGAGAAACTGGGTCCTGATGACACTGTCTGAGCACCTGAATCAAGCCTTACCTGATGTCAGACCAATGGGCCTGTTCTTTTTATGAGAAAATGTATTTCCTGCTATGTTAAACCAGTTTGAGTTAGGATTTCTGTTGCTCAGAAGCAAGAGATTGACCATAAACATGATGCTGCTTCAACAGCAGCAGACACAGTTTTCCTCCTCCCCAGGTCCGGACAGCCCCAGAGCCCCCGAGGAGGAAGGGAACAGAGGCCGAGGGTGTGGGCCCTCGCCTCAATCCCCTTCATGACAGGCTTCCCTTTGGCTCCCTCTGTGCCCTCCAAAAAGCCGGGCCCCCAAGTACCTGGAGCCGTTGCTGATGAGAATGCTCTCGCGAATCGTCAGGGTGCAGTAATACCACACCAGCAGGAAGTTAAAGACCTCGTCGGTCACCCTGGTGAGGAAAAGCGAGGGAGTAGATGTGAGAAGCAGGGACAGGGGTTCCACCCTCGCCCTGCAGAACAGCAAACCAGGTCGAGGGCTGCCTGCAGCAGGCGCTGCCTCTGGACACCCCACTGACGCCAGAAGGCAGAGGAGTTTGTCCTCTTGTGCGTCGTCTCTCCCCTGGAATCCTACACCCCTCCTCACCGTGCTACCTGGACCCTACCTGTGCTTCCAGCTCCTTCCCTGACCACCCAGCCCAGGGCAACCTGTCTCCCAAATTCTCCCTGTGTGATATGAAATCTCTGGTGGGATGGTACACAAGGACTTTAAGCACAGGAAACTTCATATTCTAAGTTGTCTGCGGTGTCAAGATGTAAACTCCTTCTGAACCCTTAACCCAGCTGGAAACCTTCTTACACATACAAGAAAATCCCCGTGGGCCATGCAGCGTGGGAGACTGACTCAACGCCTGCGGCTCCGCGATGGCGACCACAGTGCGTGCTGGGCTGTGGTCAGTGTGGAGGGGGACAAACACACTGTTGCCGGGCTTGGCAGAGACCCACCGGCCTCAGACTTGCCTTCTGTAAACGGAAAGGCTGAGTTCCTATGTGAGCGTCCCTGGGTGAAGGGATCCTGGGACAAAGCCAGTGACAACAGCCCTCCACCGTCATCCTTCTGTGATTCTGACCTTCCCGTCTCTCTCCTATCAGCATCCATGTAATTACATCAGGTCCACCTGGACGATTCAAGGTAACCTTCCATCTCGAGATTCTTAACTTAGTCACATCTAAAAAGTCCTTTTTTGGCCGGGCGCGGTGGCTCACGCCTGTAATCCCTCCACTCTGGGAGGCCGAGGCGGGAAGATCGTTTGAGCTCAGGAGTTTGAGACCAGCCTGAGCAAGAGTGAGACCCCGTCTCTACTAAAAGAAGAAATTAGCTGGACAACTAAAAATATATAGAAAAAATTAGCCGGGCACGGTGTGCATGCCTGTAGTCCCAGCTACTCGGGAGGCTGAGGCAGGAGGATTGCTTGAGCCCAGGAGTTTGAGGTTGCTGTGAGCTAGGCTGATGCCACGGCACTCTAGCCCAGGCAACAGAGTGAGACTCTGTCTCAAAATAAATAAATAAACAAATAAAAAGTCCTTTTTGCCACGTAGGGTAACTTACAGGTTCTAGAGATTAGGACGTGAACATCTCTGGGGACCACTATTCAGTCTACCACACCACGCTGCAGACATTCTGGACCCTGGCAAGAGCCTACAGGCCTGGCCCTTGAAGCAGGTGCGCTTACCACGTCCACGTCTGCAGGACTCCCAATTGCTACAACATGCCTGGGGGCTATCTCAGGCCACCAGAGCGCGCTCTGCTGGTCCAAGAGGCAGATCAGAAGGGCGGAGGAATTAACAACCCAGGGGCAGTCCCCAGCTCCCCCAACTGACAGCTGTTGGTGGATAAATACCCCAACTCCCTCGCCCCTGAGGTGGGATAGCTCCGAGGCACGTGCTACGCTGTTCCCTAGCTTCCCGGCAGTACTGAGCGCCAGCTACTCACAGAGTAAGTCTTCTTTGTCTCACTTTCCTTTCCCCCACCAGCATTTCCTGGGATCGCGCCCCAGCTAAACTACTGGCACCAAAATGCTTGTCTTGGGGGTTTCTTCTAAGGGTACCCAAATTAAGTACTACTTCCCATTTTACAGATGAGGAAACTGAGGCCCACAGAGGGGAAGTGAATTGCCCAGGATCACAGATGGTAAGCACCGGCATGAGATTCAAGCCCATCCAGCCCAAGCTTAACTCCGACCACCTCTTTCCTCCTGGTTCTAACCCCATAGAGCACAATCCTAACCAGACACAGCAGAGGCAGGTTTCATACTTTCCAGCTGCCTCACCAAAGCTCCTAAAGACCAGGCAGCACCAGCAGAGTAGGTGTCCTGAGGCCCACAGGAAAGATGAGCAAACAGACACAGGGAGGTCGAGCGCTCTACCCAAGGCCACACAGCCCATGAGTGGCAGAGCTGGACCTAGAGCCCAGGGCTCTGGAGGGTGTTGGCCATGCCCGGCTGCAGGCTTAGGGGCACCAAGAAGGGCCTCTGGGTAGAGCTCCCAGCCAGGAAGGGATCCCAAGGGGGCAAGAGTAAGGAAAGAGAATCCTGCTACTCGGACACACCAGATATCAAGCTGTGAGCTTTTTCGTGTATGTCCAGTCTTAGCACAAAGTGACGGTGGCACTAAAAACAAGCACTAACACTTAACAGCACCGACGAGCCAGTCACCAGTCTAAACACTCTACAGGTATAACTTACTGGGTCCTCACAATGCCCTACCAAGCAGCTCCTGTAACCCTCACTTTCTATGTGAAGAAACTGAGGTAGGGACAGATGAGGTCATTGGCCCGGGGTTAAAGAGCAGGGTGAGCTCCCCTGCAGGCACCAGGACACAGAGGAACTGCCCGTCCAGCCAGCCCCCGCTGTGTCCCGTGTTTAGCAAATGTAAGGTGTACTGGGTTGAGCAGCATCCCCAAAATTCACATCCACTGGGACCCCAGAATGCGACCTGATTTGGATATAGGCCCTTTGTAGGTGTAACTAGTTAAGAGGAGGTCATACTGGGTTGGGGGGGGGCCTAAATCCAACGACTAGTGTCCTTACAGGAAGGCCATGAGAGACACACAGGGAAGAGACCATGTGACAACAAAGGCAGAGACTGGAGTGAAATGACTTTATGCCAAGGACAGCCAGCGACCCCCAGAAGCCGGAGAGTCAGGAGAATCCTCCCCTGGCAGCTTCGGGGCCAGCACTGTCTGGCCAATGCCTTGTTTTCAGACTTCGGGCTTCCAGGACTGGGAGGAAATATATTTCTGTTGTTTTGGCCCCCCAGTTGGTGGCCCTTTGTCCTGGCAGCCCTAGGAGACTAACCCAGAAGGGGGTGGGGAGAAATGGAAACACCCGGGCCCTCGCAAGCCTCAGGACTTGGCAACACACTCGGGCTTTGCCCTCTGAGGGCCCGGGAGGCCCCGGCGCGAGGGGATCCAGTTGCACACCGAGAACTTTTACCCCCTTCCGAGGGACACGTGGGAAGGCGTTACTGGTGTGTGCAGCCTTTGCCCTCATGGAGAGGCCCCAGGCCCCAGGCAGCAGGTGGGCACAGGCCCAGGGCCTAAAAGAGCCTTTGTTAGGACATTCAAGTGGCCAGACAAGCAGCTGACTCCCAGCCAAGCGCCCGCCAGGAAACCAACCCTTGGCACGTGGGCCGAATGCCCGAGGTGTTCTTGGCTGCCTCCCGCAGGGCAGAAAATCCAGGGCCAGAGGGAGGGACGAGACCCACGGGGCAGGAGCCTCAGCCTCTCACAGCCTCTCAGAGCCGCACGGCCTTGTCCTGCGCGATGGCAGCAGCTGGGCTCTCGAAGCACCACCGCGTGCCGGCCTGGCTGAGCGTGTCCGTGCGGTGTGGACTCACTGAATCATCACGCCCTTGTGAGGCAGGGACTGCCGGCCCCCTCGTTTTACAGATGGGAACACGGAGGCCCAGAGGGAACGTGCCCTGAGCCAGCTGGTCTCAAAGCCAGGATCTAAACCCAGGCAGTCTGGCCGGGCTCTTTTTCTTCCTTCTGGCATCCTTTCTTTTTCTTGTAATTGAGATATAATTCACATGGCATAAAATCTGCCCTTTTCAAGTACACAATGTAGTAATGATCTTTAGTGTATTCACAGAGTTGTGCGACGACCACCATTACCTAATTCCAGAACATTCTCATCGCTCCAAAAAGCAGCCCTGTACCAACAGCAGTACCCGCCTCCTCCCCGCCCCAACCCTGGGCAACCACTGATCTACTCTCTGTCTCTATGACTTTGCCTGTTCTGGACATTTCACATCAATGGAGTCATACTATGTGGCCTTTTTGGGACTGGCTTCTTTCACTTGGCGTGACGCTCCCAAGGTTCACGCGTGCTGTGGTGTGTACCAGCCCTTCGTTTCTCCTCCTGGCTGACAACATTCCACTGTATGGACACGCCCCACTCGGCTCTTTCTTAACTACTGCAGAGCAAGGCTTTCCTGGCAGCCGTTTAATAGGTATGCGTCGGATGCGTGCAGGGTGGACAGGCTGCCGTCTGCCAGAAGTGGCCCTTCTCTACCCTACACCTTGTCACGCCAAACACTGCCGCTGCAGAAGCAGGGCTGACCCTGGATCCCTCTGGAGCCCTCTCCCCCAGGCCCCTCCTCACGCTCCACACACGTCGACAAACCCTGTTACCTGTAGTGAAGGACAAATCGACATGCCACCGCGCCCAGGAGCAGGATGATGGTCAGGTAGAGCTTGAACTTCTCATACTCGTCCTTGTAGGCGAACCTGCCAGGACAGACGCCCCCAGGAAAGGTCATGTGACTGTCACTACTCCACTGTCTGAGTGTGGGACACTCAGCTCCATCAGCTCCTCGACCTGCTGCCACTCCCCTGTGCCACAAGGACCTTCCCAGCCCACTAAAGGAGAGTCCTGGCCTTGAATTAATGGTGGTGATCAATTAGGGAAAGAAGTTCCCCATGTCCCTGGACTCCTGGCTTAGGGTTCTAGGCCGGGGTTGGGAATGAGTGGGAGGCAGACACAGGGTCTCCTCCCTCAGCTAGCTGCTGTGGCAGAAATGCCAGCATTTGATTTTGCCTGGAAATGGGATGGATTCAGGGTAGACAGGGCTGCCCGTTTCCCATGAGAAACAGAGCCATTTCCTGTGGGAAACGGGGAGTCCTGTCTACCCACCATACTGTGAAAGGAAGGAAGGAAACCTCCCCAAAGTGGTCTCCCCCTGAGAAGGAAAGTGTCAAAAATACCAAAAGCCAGTTTTTTTATTTATGCAAAAACTCTAGCTTAGACCCATCTTCCCTGAGTTGAAAGAGCAAACTGCCTGGATTCCTCTGAGCCTCTCTGGGCACACTCACTTGGCCTGTTTGCTGAGGAGGGTCACGTTCACGTTGCCGAGCACCAGATTCAAGTAGAGCCTGGAAGGAAAGACCTGTGAGGCCCGAGACCCTTACAGGCAGCGCCAATCAAAAACATTCAAACTTACCAAGCACATGCTGAGCCCCCAATGTTAGAAGACAGGCTGCTAAGCTTAGTGGTCCCACACCAAGGGAGAATGGTGATTAACGGGAGAACCGTACAACTGTGACACATGACAGTATGACAAGCCCATCCCCCATAGAAGCCGGCTTAGAGACTATTTCCCAGCCTCCCTTGCAGCCAGATGTGGGCATGTGACTAAGCTGTAGCCAATGAGGTGAAGGCATGGATACGATCTCTAGGTCAATTTAAAAAGAATTCTCTCTAAAAGCAAGGCATAATGGGCTGGGCACAGAGGCTCACGCCTGTAATCCTAGCACTCTGGGAGGCCAAGGCAGAGGGATCGCTTGAGGTTGGGAGTTTGAGACCAGTCTGAGCAAGAGCGAGACCTTATCTCTACTAAAAATAGAAAAATTAGCCAGGTGTGGTGGTGCGCGACTGTAATCCCAGCTACTCAGGAGGCTGAGGCAGGAGGATCACTTGAGCCCAGGAGTTTAAGGTTGCTGTGGGCCAGGCTAATGCCACAGCACTCTAGCCCAGGTGACAGAGCAAGACTGCATCTCAAATAAAAAGAAAGAAAAAATAAATAAATAAATAAAAGGCATAATCCTTCATAAGTGTACACATCTTAAATGTACAACATGATGACTTGTTACATATTTACACATGTAACCAACACCCAGACCAAAGGATAAAACACTTCCAGCCCTAGGAGGTCCCCTCATGCCCAGCCCACCCCAAGACAGCTGCGCCCCACCAAAGGTAGTGACTGTTTGGTTTCCTATCACCATGGATTCATTTTGCCTATTTTTGAACTTCACGTAAATGAACACAGTGTGTAATTTTTCATGCCTGGCTTCTTCCCTCAATCTCATGTCCATGAGATTCAGTCACGTTATATGCAAATCTGCATGTTCTTGTTTCTCATGGTGTATAGTATTATACTTTGATAACATCACAATTTAGTTATTCCTTCTACTGTTGATGAGCATTTTGTTTTCAGTTTTAGTTGTTTTTGTGTGGGTGGTTAGAGTATCAAAAATCTACTCTTTTAGCAAACTTCCCGTACATAATACAACATCACTAACTCTAGTCCCCCTGCTTTACGTTAGGTGTCTAGACTTATTCATCCTACATAACTATCACCTGTACCCTTTAACCTACATCCCTCCACTGCCCCGCACCCCTGCTCTTGGAAATCACTATTCTACTCTCTGTTTCTATGTATTTTATTTTTTTTTTTAAAGATTCCACCTATAAGTGAGAACATGAAGTATTTTGCTTCCTGCGTCTGGCTTGTTTCACTTAGCACAATGTCCTCTGGGTTCATCCAGGTGTTTTTAGTTTTTGACTAATTACAAATAAAACTGCTGTGAACATTCTTTTTCTTCAATAGAGATATAATTCACATACCATAAAATTAACCCTTTTAAAGTATGCAAGTTAATAGTTTCCAATATATTTACAATATTGTGCAACTATCACCCTTACCTAATTCCAGAATATTTTTACCTCCCCAAAAAGAAACTCCATACCCATGAACAGTCACTCCCCATTCTCCCCTCCCCCCAGCCTCTGGCAACCACCCATCTACTTTCGGTCTCTATGGATTTGCCTACTCTGGACACTTCATATAAATAAAATCATACAATATGTGGTCTTTTGTGTCTGGCTTCTTGGCTGTGAACATTCTTGTACACAGCTTTTACAGGCAGGACATAAGCACCCATTTCCTTTGGGAATATACCCAGGAGTGGAATTTCTGGGTCACGGTGTATGTACGTATTCAGCTTTAGTAGGAAATGGCAAATGCTTATTGTAAAAGGTGTATCTGCTTGCCCTCTATGGTCTGTTTCACCCTTCCTGGAAATGTGACGGTACAAGACAGCTTTGGCCGTGCAGATGAGGACAACTCCCCAAGTGGTGGTGGAGCGGTAAGCTGAGAAAGCCCCAAGCAACTAGATGACCACGAGTCCCCCACCTTGGCCCCCTCGCCTCTGGACTGTTGTGTGTGAGAGAGAAACCTTTCACTGAGCCATTGTATCGTTGGGTCTCTGTTACAATAGCCTGTACTCTAACACACTAACAAAGGTGGAAATACAGAGTTACAGGACCTTGCAGAAGAAGAGTAAATTCCACAGAGGGAGAGGGGTTTGGAAAGGCTTCACTGAGGTGATAACATTTGAATTGGGCTTTGAAGGATAAATAGAAATTTGAGAGGAAAAAAGAATACAGAAGAACCTTCTTTCTAGCTATGAGTGGACTGCAGGGGCATTTCTGGTCTGGTGTAACTGAACGGAGGTGTAAGAGGACATCTATTTTCCTGCCTAGCACACAGTTCCTACTTCCTGAAAGGGCAACTGCAATTTCCCTTCAGAGAATTGCATTCCCCCCTAGGCCCTCAGGGAATGCATGTGACCCAGGCTTGGCCAATCAAGGCAGTGCATCCTCCTGATTGGGTTAAGAATGGTCATATGACACCATCTAAGCCAATGAGAATCAGCCCTGGGACTTTTCCCAGAATGACTAAGGAACAGACTTTCTCTACTAGTTGATTAGCAGAAAGGATGCAAGAAGCCCAAAGCTGCTCGGCACCAGTTTACAGAAAAAACCTACTTAAGAATGAAACTCATATACTGGAAAAGTGAGTAAAAAAAAAATACTAAATGAGAGGCAGGTCCTACCAGGATCATTTGAGTAGCAGGATCCAGCCCTACCTGAAGCTATTCATGGACTTTTAAGTTACATGAGCCAATAAATCCCTTAGTTTTTCTTAAGCAATTCTGAGTTGGGTTTTTTGTCATCCACAAACCAAAGATTCCTGACTGACATAAGATGCACAGAGGGTCGGGTGCGGTGGCTCACGTCTGTAATCCTAGCACTCTGGGAGGCCGAGGCAGGAAGATTGCTTGAGCTCAGGAGTTCGAGACCAGCCTGAGCAAGAGCGAGACCCCGTCTCTACTAAAAATAGAAAGAAATTAGCTGGACAACTAAAAACAGAAAAAATTAGCCGGGCATGGTGGCACGTGCCTGTAGTCCCAGCTACCCGGGAGGCTGAGGCAGAAGGATCGCTTGAGCCCACAAGTTTGAGGTTGCTGTGAGCTAGGCTGACGCCACAGCACTCTAGCCTGGGCAACACAGTGAGACTCTGTCTCAAAAAAAAAAAGATATGCACAGAGGACTGGAGAGAGGGGAGCCAGGAAGGTGGATTTCAGTGACACCGTGAAAGAGTGTCATGAATGCTGGGCTGTTGTAGAAAACGCAGAAAATGATCACCTATCTTGTGAATTTTAAACAAACAGCAAAAAAGGAGAGGCTCAGAGGAATGGGTTAAGATGTAACAGGGCTGGCAAGCCACCTGCCACCCCACTGTGGGCCTAAAAGGAAGCCCCTCCTCCTGGTGGGAGGCTCTGCCTCAGTGCTAGGCCGAACGAGGAAACGGGGTCAGGCTAAAGCAAGGGGACATGCTTAGCAGACCATGCCAGGTCGCCAAACAACACTGTTAAGGGGTCTATCTGGAACAAAGCAGCAATGGTGTCACTGGAGGGGGCAGAGAGGGACTTCTTTGCAGGGAGAAGATGGAAAGAACTCAGGCTTCAGAGTCAGAATACCTAGTGTTCACATCCTGGCTTGGTCAAACCTGGCTGAGCCACCTGGGCCAGATATTCCCTAATGTCTCCGAACCTTGTCAAAATACGGATACCTTAAACTGATGCACCAGGTTATGGAAGGTAAAATAAGAGACGTCAAGGGAGCTCCCAGGACAATGCAGAGCATGCAGCAGGCACTCAACACATGTTTGATCTCTTGGGAGAGAATATCTTCCCTCTCGACCTCAAGTGCACCAGGCATGTGGCAGGTGCTGGTTCCTCAGAAAAGCCCTCCCAGGAATGTCACTACCATGCGGCGGGGCAGAGGTCCCCTCCTGGACTCCTGGAGAACATGTGGGAAGGGTCCTGGCTCCTTCTCTTCCCTGCCCTTGCTCCCCCTTCCCCTCAACCCAAATCCCCAACAGGCAGGTGGGAGTTCCACAGACCAGGTGTTCTGGGCCTGGGCACCTGCCCGTGGCAGGGGCAGGGGAGTCTCCAGCTCCTACCCGTTCTTCTTGGGCAGGTAGGCCTCCATGTCGAAGAAGACATTCTGCCGCTCCTTGATGTTCGTGGCCATCTGCTGAACAAGCTCCGCCTCCTCCCGGCTGGCATGGCGCTTGTACCTGTGGTCAGAGGTGCAGGCGCAGAGGCAGGGGTATTACTCAGATGGAGGAAGACTTTGGACGCCCTGGGCACTGCCCTCCACCTTTCCGCCCCGACACTTCTTGCAACTTCAGTTCTCTATCTGCACTCTCCGGGCGTGATGCTGGCTCCCTAGTAGCCTTGCAACCTTGGGAAAGTCCTTGAACCTCCCTGCCTTATTTTCCATACCTGAAAAATGGGGATAACATCAGGCCTGCCCCACAGACAATACCCTGACGAGGATTAAATGAGCACGTACAGTGTAAGCACCTGGAATAACACTTGACACATAGTATAAGCTCGATGGGTATTTACTGGCATAATCTCCTTCTTCTCACTATTCCAAAGGATACCCTAAGGATGGCTAGGAGGACACGCAGACAGGCACTTAAAAGCATAGGCAAGGCAACCAATTAAAGTCTGTTATTCTTCGGTAACGTTTCACGCTCAACACTAGGAAAACAAGGCAGCAGACACATTGGAATGGGAGGGGTCCTTAGTCTAAGAAACTAATTTGTGGGTCAACCTTCTAACCGAGTGCTTCTCAGCTGGGGACACTAGGCAATGTCTGGAGTCATCCTGGTTGACAACAGGAGTCAGGGTGATGCTGGCACCGAATGGGTGGAGGCCAGGGAATGCCGAGGAACAGCCTCCGGCAGCAAAGAATTACCGACAGTGCCGAGGCTAAAAAATCTCAGACTGAAAAAAGTCACAGGACTCTGAGTTCTGCCATCAGTAAGATGCGTTTTTCCAAGACACATCTAGTGATGTGTCTACCTGGACCCAACCACGCTCTCCACCCCATGACTAGTGGGCCTCCGTTTCCAAAATGGGCAGCCAAGCCCAGGGGCATAATCGGGACCTTTCCCAATATCGTCCGCAGGAAAGAGCTGACCAGGAGTCACAAACGCTGGAATGGAGGCCCAGCTAAGCAACTCAGGACAAGTCACTTGGAGCCTCAGTTTCCCTGCTTGACTAGAGGGTTACAGCATCCACTGGCCCCCTTCACCTACGAGGGGCGAGAGTACTTCCAAACCATGAAGACACAAGTATCGGGAAGTGAACACGAGCAGGGCTCAGGAACTGAGCTAAGTCATGAGCCCAAGCACATCCCCACCAGGGATGCCAACCTCGCAGCCCCTACGCCAGAGCCCCTGATGGGGACAGCATCCCACACCCACGAGAAGGACATTGGCTGTTTACCTGTCCAGCAGGGCTGCTTCTTGCAACAGCGCCTAGCTTTTATCCTCTCCTCCCCACCCGTGTGGCTCAGGTAGGGGCTGTTCCCCCCCCTCCAAGGTCCACACACTGAGCCATGACATAGTCTTGCCCATGCACATTCTCAGTAATTGGCTCACGAAGAGCACACAGCCAACCCCAGTCAGTGGGGATCACACCGGCACATGTGCTGAAGTATTAGGAAAGAGAAACTCCTTCTGCTGGGGTGGCAAAGCCAGCGGGAAGCAAGGCTAGAGTACATAAGCGGGCACTGCTGCTGGGCATCTTGGTGACCAGGACAGGACAGTCGGCCTGAGAGTGAAGCCACCCTAGAGGAAGACAGAATTAGAGGAAAAAACCAGAATCCTACAAACACCCTTTGACCCCTGGATCCAGGGATGCCTGAAGCTAACCTGGTCCTGGTTTTTTTCCACTAAAATTTCCATTCTCTGCTTAAGCCGGTTCTGAGCTGGGCTTGTGTCCTTGTGAACCAGGGAGTCTGGCGTTGGGGCCGTGCCTACCTCTGGAGTGTGCGCTTGAGGTCCTTGAGGCGCTTCTTCTGCTTGCCGATGGAACCGCTGCACAGTGTCTGCAGCGCGCTCAGCTCCTCCAGCTTCTGCCTGTAGATCCTGTGCGTCTCCTGTGCACAGAGGAGCCAGGGCGGGTCACATTTCATAGCCCGCTCCTGCTCAGGGGATGTGACGGCAGAGGTCACACTTGGATGGCTAAAACAATACAACTATCAAGGATGTGGCTGGGAAAACTGGGACTGAAGCCAGACACCGCGGCTCACACCTGTAATCCCAGCACTTTGGGAGGCCGAGGCAGGAGGATTGCTTGAGGCCAGGAGTTCAAGACGAGCCTGGGCAACATAGCAAGACCCCATCTCTACAAAAAATAGAAAAATTAGTTGGGCATGAGTAGCATAGACCTGTAGTCCCAGCTACTTGGGAGGCTGAGGCAGGAGGATCACTTGAGCCCAGGAATTTGAGGTTGCAGTGAGCTATGATGACACCACTGCACTCTAGCCCAGGCATGAGAGTGAGACCCTGTCTCTAAAAAAATAAATAAGTAATTCGAACTTTCAGAAGAATTATAAAAACAACACAAAGAACTCCCCTCTCCTCTTCACCCAGACTCACCAACCGCTTTCACTATACTGTACTTGCTTTATCACCCAGGTACGTGTGCTCACGTGCACACACAGGTGCACACGTGCATGAGCACACGGTGCGGGTGCGTGTGTGTGTGCGTGCGCGTCTGTGTGTCCTTTTTCTGTATCGGACACCACTAACCTACTGCCTGTAAGCCACCTAATTCTGTAGGGGCAGTAAGACAGAAATGGGTTTTCCAGGGTAGAAAACAAATTCAAAGAATATTCCATGACATGTGAAAATTCCATGAAGTTGGCATTGCAGTAGCCATAAATAAAGTTTTACTGGAGCACAGCCACGCCTACTCATTTACATATTGTCTGTGGCTGCTTTGGCACCATGACAGCAGGATAGTGAGGAGTTGTGACAGGGACCATATGGCCCACAAAGCCTAAAATCTTCACTAATTGGCCTTGTACCAGAAAAGGTTTGCCCACTCCCGTGCTAAACCATTTGGGAGTTAGTGTAGACAACACGCCTCTTTACTCCTAAATACTGCAGTGTGTATCTTGTGAGAACAATGTTCTCCTATATTCACGGTACGATTATCAAACACAGCTGACTCTTGAACAACACAGATTTGAACTGTGAGGGTCCATTTATACACGGATTTTCTTCCGCCTCTGCCACACCTGAGACAACAAAACCAACCCCTCCTCTTCCTCCTCCTCAGCCTGCTCAACGTGAAGATGACGAGGATGAAAGCCTTTATGATGATCCACTTCCACTTGATAAATAGTAAATATATTTTCTCTTTATGATTTTCTTAATAACATTTTTTTCTCTATCTTAAGAATACAGGATATAATACATATAACACACAAAATACGTGTTAATTGACTCTTTGTTATCAGTAAGGCTTCTGGTCAACAGTAGGCCCCAAACCTCCGCGTTGCGCCAAGGTCTGCTGTATTGATAGAATATAGTGCTATGACCCCAAATACCATCCAAATTCAAATTTTACTAACTGTCTCTTTTATGGCAATTTTCTTCCAGATCCTAGATCCTATTCAGTCTTATGCCTTAGATTATTGCTCGTAACTCTTTGGTCTCCTCTAATCTAGAACAGTTACTCAACTTTGTCGTTCCTGAATTGAAATTTTTAGAGTTCAGCCCAGTTGTTTTGGAGAATGTCCCTCAATCTGGGTTTGCTTGATGTTTCCTCGTGATTAGATTTTGGTTATGCATTGGAGCCAGAATGCCACTAAAGTGTCTTTAGTGCCTCCTGCCAGTGGGGGATACAGTGTCCATGATGTCAGCTTTGATTGCTTGGTAAAGGCAGTAAAGATATCCACCTGGGCCGGGCGCGGTGGCTCACGCCTGTAATCGTAGCACTCTGGGAGGCCGAGGCGGGCGAATTGTTCTGAGCTCAGGAGTTCCAGCACAGCCTGAGCAAGAGGGAGACCCCATCTCTACCAAAAAATGGAAAGAAATTAACTGGACAGCTAAAAATATAGGTAGACAAAATTAGCCGGGCATGGTGGCGCATGCCTGTGGTCCCAGCTACTTGGGAGGCTGAGGGAGAAGGATTGCTTGAGCCCAGGAGTTTGAGGTTGCTGTGAGCTAGGCTGACGCCATGGCACTCGCCCCAGGCAAGAGAGTGAGACTCTGTCTCAAAAAAAAAAAAAAAAAAAGATATCCACCTGGTCTCTCCACTGTACAGTGACCAACTTTCCATTTGTAATTAATAAGTTAACTGCGGAGATAGGCTGCATTTTAATTGCTTTTGAATTCTTCATTGCCAAATGGCCATCTATGTTTAATAAATACCTGCTGGTGACAAAGGAAACCCTGGCCAGGCGTGGTGGCTCACACCTGTAATCCCAGCACTTTGGGAGGTCGAGGCGGAAGGATCGCTGGAGGCCAGGGTAGAGTGCAGTGGCGTTATCACAGCTCACGGCAACCTCAAACTCCTCAGCTCAAGCGATCCTTCTGCCGCAACCTCCTGAGTAACTGGGACCACGGGCACGTGCCACCATGCCCAGCTAATTTTTTCTATTTTTTTGTAGAGACAGGATGTAGCTATGTTGCTCAGGCTGGTCTCAAACTCCTCCCAAATACATAGGCTGGGTGCTGGGATAACAGGCATGAGCCACTGCACCCAGCCTATGTATTTTTGTATTTTATATAGACCTATTTCTATGTACACACACAAATACATAAATACATACACATGCGTATATATGAAAAACACATATGTTGCAAAAAGTAATCGTCCCTAACACTTATATTCTCTTTTGCTTTCTTTTGGTAATAGAATTCCACTAAGTTGTAGTTGGGCTCACGGCTTCCCGCTATAGACTGCATTTCCCAGCCTGCTTTGCAGTTCGGTGTAGAGGCATAACTAAGAGTTAGCCAATAGGACGTGATTCCAGAAGTGACGTGTGCAAGTTCTACACCACAGTTTTTGTTAGGAACTGCTAGCCCTCCACTCTCTTTCCCTGGCTGGAATAGGGCAACAACGGGTCCAGGTGCTTTTAAACCAGAGGTGGAAGCCACATAGTGCAGATGGCAGAGCCCAGTGTCCCCTCCCCAACCAAACCAACCCGGTCCCCAGGTGACCTCATGTGATAGAGCTTCCCACCTGTGATGGTTTCAAAACATGACCACCCATTCTTTAGCATGCCTTGCTCACACAGAGAGACAGGGTCTCCGTTTCCTCCCCTGAAATCTAGGTAGGCTGACTGGTTTGACCAATGGAATATGGCAGAAGTGACACTAGACAACTTCTGAGAGGAAGTCACTGAAGGCCATGTGGCTTCCACCCCATTTGATGCAACACTTGCTCTTGGAGGAAAAAGTCCAACTACCCTGAGGCCACCATGCTCTACTGCAGCTCTAACCACACAGAAGTCACATGCAGGCCCTTCAATCAGTAGTTCCAATAAATCTTCTTGTCATTTCAGCCTAGGTGCCAGACGTGCATATACAGAAAGGAGTCCAGCCCCAGCTAAGTCCCCAGACTTCATAAGGCACAGTCAGGCCTCCCCACCACATGCTGTCTAAACTCCTGACCACAGAATCCATGAGCATCATTCAGATATTGTCGTTTTACACAGCAACAGATACCTGAAGCACTGCTCACCCTGGACCACACCTCCATCTACACTGCCATGTGAGAAGAAAGAAACTACTTCATTTAAGTCACTTTATGTTGCAATCTCTCTGTTATAGCAGCATTGCTTAGACCCTAAAGTACACACTTTTGTCTCTTTAAAATACATTAATAGTGGCCAGGCGCAGTGGCTCACGCCTGTAATCCTAACACTGTGGGAGGCCGAAGCAAGAGGATTGCTTGAGCTCAGGAGTTTGAGACCAGCCTCAGCAAGAGTGAGACCCCATCTCTACTAAAAATAGAAAAAATTAGCTGGGCGTGGTGGCGCATGCCTGTAGTCCCAGCTGCTAGGGAGGCTGAGGCAGGAGGATCGCTTGAGCTCAGAAGTTTGAGGTTGCTGTGAGCTAGGCTGATGCCACGGCACTCTAGCCCAGGCAACAGAACAAGACTCTGTCTCGAAAAATAATAATAATAATACATTAATAGTATCCGAATATACATACAATTCCACAACTTGCTTTTCTCACTCAATAACATGTCTTGAAGATCCACCCACATATGAATATATGGATGTACCTCACTCTTTTTAGCGCTGTGCAGTATTTCACTGTACAGATATACTAATAAACTAAATAGTCATTCCCCTCTTGCTGGATATTTAGGTTGCTTCCAGGCTCTGACTATAACCAACAATGCAACGTTGAATGATGCCCTTGCACTGCCCTCTCTGGGGAAGATTCTCCTGGGGAAGAGGGAAGAAATTGCTGGGTCAGAGGGTGCAGGCTTGTTTAATAGATCTTGGCCAACTGCCCTGCAGAGTGGCTGTACCAATTTATACTCCCACCCACAGCTGTAACAGGACAACTGTTGTCCACACCTAAGCAACACTCAATGCTATTAACATTTAATTTTTTCCAGGTACTTTTCTAACATCCCACTGGTGATATTCAGACTGGTAGGGATGGGAAGTCCATGGGCCATCCCATAATTCTGTTCCCTGGTAAATGAGGTCATTCCTGCTGCCCTGCAGTTCTCTTGCTTTGCCATTGGCCAGAGCCACTTTGGGGAGCAGGGGGAGATGCAATACTGGAGGGTCACACACCCCTACTCTGCTCCCGGCCTCGGCTCTGCCAGGCTCAGGATTTGCCAGTCACAGGAAGACAACATGGGGTAGGGGAGTCAGAAACAAGGGCCTTGGTGTGACACATGCTCCACCCCCAGGCATTCCTCACCCACGCTCAGTCTTTGCGGATCCCACCCTCGTGACAGTCTCATAAGCAGTGGCAAAGGTTATCAATTCATTTCTTGGATCCTTACTTTTTTTTTTTTTTTTTTGAGACAGAGTCTCGCTCTTTTGCCTGACCTAGAGTGAGTGCCGTGGCGTCAGCCTAGCTCATAGCAATCTCAGACTCCTGGGCTCAAGCGATCCTC